GACAATAAAATGAAATAAAAGGCATCAAAATTGGCAAAAAAGAAGTCAAACTTTCACTTTTTGCAGATGATATGATACTCTACATGGAAAACCATGAAAGCGTCCACCAAAATGCTGCTAGAACTGATACAAGAATTCAGCAAAGTCAGGGTAAATTATACACCGATAATGAAGCAACAGAAAGAGAAATCAGGAAATTGGTACCATTATCAATTGCACCGAGAACCATACAATACGTAGGAATAAACCTAACCAAAGATATAACATATATTTATGTTGAAAATTATAGAAAACTTATGAAGGAAATTGAAGGGGAAACAAAGAAATGGAAACACATTCCATGCTCATGGATTGGAAAAATAAATGTTGTTAACATCTCAATAGAACCCAAAGCAATCTATACATTAAATGCAAACTGAATCAAAATTGTACTGGCATTCTTCCTAAAGCTAGAACACACAATACTAAAATTTGTATGGAACCACAAAAGACCCTGAATAACTAAAGTAATATTGAAAAAGAAAACCAAAGTAGGAGGCATCACAATCCCAGACTTTAGCCTCTACTATAAAGATGTAATTACCAAGAGAGTACAGTATTGGTACAAAACAGACACATAGACCAATAGAGGAGAATAGAAAACCCAGAATTGGACCCACAAAAGTATGGCCAATTAATCTTTGACAAAGCAGGAAAGAGCATACAATGGAAAAGAGTCTCTTTAGCAAATGTTGGGAGAAATGGACAGCGACATGCAGAAAAATGAAACTAGACTACTTTCTTCCACCATACACAAATATAAACTCAAAATGGATGAAAGACCTAAATGTGAGACAGGAAACCATCAAAACTGTAGAGGAAAAAGGACGCAACCAATTCTTTGACTTCAGTTGCAGCCAATTCTTCCTCAACACATCCCCAAAGGCAAGGGAATTAAAAGCAGAATTAAACTATTGAGACCTCATCAAGATAAAACAGTTCTGCACTACAAAGGAAATAATAAACAAAAGTAAAACGCAACTGGCCCAATGGGAAAAAAATATTTTCAAATGACACATTGGATAAATTTACTGTTCAAAATATATAAAGAACTGACCAAATTGAACACCCAAAAAACAAATAATCCAGTGAAGAAATGGGCAGAAGACATGAATAGACACTTTCCCAAAGAAGACATTCAGAGGGCCCACACAGACATGGAAAGATAGTCCACATCACTCATCACCATGGAAATACAAATCAAAGCCACACTGAGATTCCACCTCACACCAGTCAGAGTGACTTAAACTAACAACTCAGGAATCAGTAGATGCTATCTAGGATTTAGAGAAAAGGGAACCATCTTGCACTGCTGGTGGGAATGCCAACTGGTACAACCACTGTGGAAAACAGTGTGGAAGTTCATCAAAAAATTAAAAATAGAAATACCCTATAACCCACTAATAACACTACTAGGAATTTATCCAAAGGATACAGGAGTGTTGATTCATAGGGGCTCATGTATGCCAATGTTTATAGCAGCACTATCAACAATAGCCAAATTATGGAAAGAGCCTAAATGTTCATCAATTGATGAATGGATAAAGAAGATGTGATTTATATATACTATAGAATAGTACTTGTCAATGAGAAAGAATGAAATCATGCCATTTGCAGCAACAAGGATGGAAGTGGAAGGTATTATGCTGAGTGAAATAAGTCAGTCAGAGAAAGACAGATATCATGTGTTTTCACTCATATGTGGATATTGAGAAAATTAACAGAATACCATTGGAGAAAGGAAGTGGGGGAAATAGTTACAGAGTGGGAGGGAAGAAAACCATAAAAGACTCTTAAATGCAGAGAACAACCTGAGGGTTGATGAGGGGTAGGGGGGGAGAGGGGAAAATGGGTGATGGGCATTGAGGAGGGCACTGGGATATGCACTGGGTGTTGTGTGTAATCAATGAACCACAGGAATCTAACCCAAAAACCAAGAGCACGCTTTACACACTGTATGCTAGCCAATTTGACAATAAATTATATTAAATAATAAATAAATACATAAATACATAAATGAATGAATGAATGAATGAATGAATAAATAAATAAATAATTGGCAATAAAACAAATGGAACTTAAAAAGAAAAAAAAAAAGTAATGAAAATCCTAACCACCCAATCAGACAATGCACAGAAATAAATGCATCCAAATCAGTAAGAAAGAAAGAAAACCGTGCCTTTTAGCAGAAGACAAAATATTATACTTAGAAAACCCTGTAGAATACACCAAGGAACTATGAAAATTAATAAATGAATTCGGTAAAATTTCATAGTGCAAAATTAATATACAGAAAACAGCTGCATTTCTAAACATTAATAATGAAGCTGTAGAAAAAAAATGTCTTTAAATATCCCATTCAAAATTGCACCAAAAAATAAAATACCCAGGACTAAACTTTGCCAAAGTGGAAAAAGACCTGTACTCTGAAAACTATAAAATATAGATTATAGAAATTTAGATGACAAAAACAAATGGAAAGATATTCCATGCTCCTGGATTGGAAGAATTAATACTGCTAAAATATCCATATTACCCAAATCAAAATACAGATTCAATGTAATCCCTATCAAAATACCAATAGCAGTTTTCTCATAAGACAAATAATTATAAAATGTATGGAACCACACAACACTTTGAATACCCAAAGTAATGCTGAGAAAGAAAAACAAACCTGGATATATCACAATCCAAGATTTTAAAAGTATGCCACAAAGCTATAATAACTAAAAAAGTATTTTATTGATACACAAAAAAGAAAGAAACCCACAAATCGATGGAACTAAAGAGAGAGCCCAGAAATAAACCTATGCTTCTATGGTCAGTTAATCTATGACAACGGAGGTAAGAATACACGATAGGAGAAAAAAAATCTTCCTCAAAAATGGCCTGGGTAAGCTGAATAACTATATGCAAACAAATGAAACTGACTCACTTTCTTACACGGTACCAAAAATAAAAATAAATTAAATACTTATATCTGAGGTCTGAAACCATAAAGCTCCTGGAAGAAAACATAGGCAGCAATCTCTTTGATATTGATCTTAGCAATGTATTAATGGATATGTCTGCTAAGACAAGGTCAACAAAAGCAAAAAGTACACTACTAGGACTGTACCAAAAAAAAAAAAAAGTGTGCAGTAAAGGAAACTATCAACATAGCAAAAGGCAACCTACTGAATGGGAGAAGATACTTGTAAGTGATATTTCTGATAAGGGCTTGATATCTAAAATATCTAAAAGAAAGCAGCAAAAAAAAGGGGAAGAAAAAGAAAATGAGTAATTCATTTAAAAAATGAGCAGAGTATCTGAATAGAAAGTTTTTCAAGATGGCCAACAGACACATATAATAATCGTCGACATCGCTAATCATCAGTGAAATGCAATTCAAAACCAGGCAATGTTTTCTGACACCTATCACAATGACTAGGTGTGATAGTCATTTGTTTGTTAAAACAAAACAAACAAATAAAAGAGAACCAGACCATAAATACAGAGAACACACTGGTTGTTGCAGGACTGGAGGAGGAAGAGGTGAAAGGGAGTGGGAGGTATGGGCTTCCAGTTATGAACTGAGTAAGTCTCATGAATGAAAGGTACAGCTTACGTAATATAATTTATGTATTGTAATAGCTGTTAGTGACAGATGGTGGCTACACTTTTGGTGAACAAAGCATAATGTGAAGAGTTCTTGAATCAATCTGTTGTAGACCTGGAACTAACGTAGTATTGTTTGTCAGCTATACATTTTTATTAAGTTTTTCATTTTAATTTCAGTACAGTTAACAATTGTTTTCAATTAAATAAAATTTATCAGCTATGCTCTGATAAATACTATTTTTCTGCCATGAAAATATATTTCTCACATTTTTAGAAAAAAAAAACTATTTTTTTTTTCATATTGACCAAGTAGACAGTATTGGATATTTAAAGGGATTTCTAAGTTGTATAAAAATTTAGGAGTATGAACTATATCATTTTTGTGAACTGACAGGTGATGAGAGAAGAACTTTAACACAATGCAATGCTTCTCTTCATGGTCAGGGTTTTGTGTTTTTTTTTTTGGTTTTGTTTTGTTGTTTGTTTGCTTGTTTTGTTTTACTTTTGATCACTGCCCTGATTCTCTTCTCCTACCTAGTGGAGGTAAATCACATTGGCAGGAAAGTAACCTTCAAGATACTGGAAATTCAATCAATGTAGAACAAATGTAAATAGAAATATATCATAGTTCTACAGGAATAATGACCTAAGCCTGTCTACAGCACAAATATTATTTCTGAACAGAGCATTTCTTTAAAGAACTCACTGAACACATTCAGAGTGAGGGACAGAAGTGCCACAGGCTGTGGGTAGCCAGGCATATGTAGAGAACTGTAATCAAGCCAGAGCACAGAAAAATGGGTTCTTATGATGCATTATTTTCTAGGGACTGGAGAAAGGCAGTCACGGGCACTCATGGCCTGAAAAAAGCTCTAATTTGTTAATATCTTCTTGTTTTTGCTCACAAAGAAATGTTCTGAATACTGCTATACTGATTTCTGCCCCCTCTCCCAATATTAGAGAAAAGTGGCATTCTGATAACAGAAAAAAACCATCCCAATGCTACACTAAGATTTCAGTTAAATTATATTGTAGAGAATTTGATTATCTCTGGGTGCATAAATAAACACATAAACAAAGCATTATATAATCTTGTTTCTGAACCCACAAATTTAAGTGTCAGTTCATAAACAAACCAAGCATGTTTTTTTTTTCCTTGATGAAGTAATTGACCTTCATCAAATAACCTCTAGTTTCTGACAAACATTCAAAGCCATAAGTTTGTGGATGAGTCTGTTCAGGTTTTCTTATTCCCAATTTTAAATGCTAAAGACCACCTACAGATCATTTATGAATTTTTTGTTACTGTTATATTCTAATTCTTCCAAAAATGAGGCCAATTCACCATTTTTTAAGTTTACCTTTGGCTTTTCGGGTACACACAAATAGAACACTGATTGTTGCACCAAAGGCCAGGAGAGACAGGAAAACTGCAAACCCCACTGCCCAAGGACAGTCCTCAGGAAACAAGGTATCTGAAAAATATAAAATTTCTCACTTAGTATTCAGCTTGCTATCAGAGACTTGGCTGTTGGGAACAAATCCCTAGATGTTTTCCTTTAGGGGACATTATGAGGAAGAGCACAGATTCTAAGCCTCATCTACCTCTCCCTGCAATTCTAAAGAATTTTGGAATACTAAAGAGGCTTCAGTTTCCTTTCCTGTTCTTGATATACGGAGACTCAGATGTTTATTTTATAAATTATCAAATGTTTTAATATGCTGAACACATACAAATAATTTATCAGGCATCCATGTACCCACAATCAAAATTTAACAAATATTATTATATTTGCAACAAATAATTCTCTTACAACAAATAAAAGTCTAAAAATGCATTTAAGTATTTTTTCATCCTTTTCTCCATTATTTCTGCTACAGACCCCACACTGACTTTGCCATGTGTCTTTTCTATCTGATTATTTTCTATGTAAATATATATGTGAGTTTGACAATATACCAATGAATAAGAAGCATGTGGAGCTTTTCCAAAGTTTAAAGGAAAAATTGTGACATCTTGGATTATAAGCTAAATGGAATTCATGTCTAGGTTCTTGAGACAGAGATTCAATTCCCCATTTCTTATGAAATATGTGTCAGCTAGCAAATAAAATCTGTAAAAATGAGTATCATTTTTATATTCTTTTATTTAATACTGTTACTTCAAAAGAGGTCCTGACTGAGTCACCCAGATGCCCCAAAATGTCTGTGTAATTTTTAATTGATGATCTCAAACATATATGTATATATGTATATATAAATATATGAGCATTTTTAAAATGTTTTCTCTATCATGGTGTATGTGTTTGCTTCTTTCACATTTTCCACCTCAAGTTTTCTTTCTAACTAACTTAAACCAATGTGATGTCCCAAACCAAAGCACAAAGGAAATGTCACTTCACTTACTGATTAAAGGTGATACAAAAATTTGTGCATTGTAGAAAAATATATTGTGGATCGGTATTTTTCTAAGTAACGGGGATATAAAAAATAGACACAGTATCCTCAGAAGTTTATATTCATTCTAGGGAAATAGTGAAACATATAATCAAAATAATGTATGAGTAAAGAGGGCACTTAACACAGAATAGCTTTCTGAGAGGTTAAGGTTAAATACAGAGGGAGCAGGAAGAAACCTTTGGTTAGAGGAAAAATAGAAGAAATGTGTCAATAACAGCCTACATGGGATATTGCATGGGTGAATATGTTCTGGGAATGAGTGAGGGGTGGGAAGAATTGGAGGCAAAGGAAGACAGGGCTGAAGGATGAAGCTGGAAAGATTAGAAAGGACAAGAGATAAAGAATGTTATTGACAGGCTACAATACTTCAAATAAGGATATTTGTATATCCAGGAAGTTGGAAGAGATCACATGGGCAAACTATTTCTTTGAACTGTCACTTTGGATAGTTATTGGAATGTCTGAGCTCTTCTCTGCCTGTGCTATTAATCATAAGAGTTAATACTCATAACAACTTTATGAGGTAGACACTATGATTATCCGTATTTAACACATGGGAACTGAGCACAGGAAGGTCAATAGTTACTCACGACCAGGAAGCTGATAAATGGCACTGCCAGGATTCAAATCAATTTGAAGGATGGGAGAAAACAGAAAATTGTGAAAATATGCTTTCCCTAGGCAGTGGGATTAGGAGAAGTTTAGAAAGAACTTTGATGGTTTCCTCAAAAACGTTATTACTTTTTTCCACTCATGTATTCATCTGCATAAAGTAGAAGAATGACATTTCCATCATAAGAAGAAATATAAAACAAGACAGAATGTGACTTTTTCCAGGTTCTCTGCATTAAAATTTAGAAATGGATAAATTAGAATATCCTTCTGGTGTGTCAATCATAGGTCTTTATCAGTAAGAACTTCCTGATCAGCAGGGACTTCTCAAGATATCAACTTTGGAGGAAACTGACCTGCTACGGAGACATGCACCTCCTTCTCCACACTGAGTATTAGGTTCCTTATAACACAGGACACATCTGCTCTTGAATTTTTATCAACTGTGATAGATGATTCCACATGAAACAGTCCATTTTCTTCTATTTTCTTTGTCTCAAAGGCTGGTGCCAAGAGCAGTCCTTGAAGGTCCCTCCATTGTACCTCAGGCTCTGGATACCACCCCATGGATGTGCAGGTCATCTTCATGTCCATCCTATTGCCAGGTTCAATGTGAATATGAGGAGCTGTACCTGAGACTAGGAAAGCCAAAGAGAGACAGAGAAAGTACACATCTCCAAGAGTTTTCTTTCCAGTTTACATTTTAATTAATGTCTATGAAGTTCATTTTTCTTATTCATAAAAGAGAGTTAGAAAAATAACTAAGCCAAAGAACTTTGGGGAAAAAATCAGCTGTATCAACATTTAATAAAGTACCCACATACCAAGCATGTCTGTATTGTTTTCCTTTGCCGCCCTCCCAGTTGAAACATCACTGATTATATTATTTGATGATTCTTAAAGTTGGTTAGAAGAATGTGGCACCTGGGTGGCTCATTTGGTTGAGTGTCCAACTTTGGCTCAGGTCATGAACTCATAGTTCATGGGCTGGAACCCCATATCAGGTTCTGTGCTGACAGCTCAGAGCCTGCTGACTGCTCTGGATTCTGTGTCTCCTTCTATCTTTGCCCCTCTCTGGATCATTCATATTCTCTCTCTCTCTCTCTCTCTCTCTCTCTCTCTCTAAAAAATAAACATTTTTAAAAAACTCAGTTGAGTGGAAAAACACTCTATCAATTCATTTGCAGTCACTGAATTTAAAGGAACATAGGATGGTTTTCTGTAGCAAATTTGTAGTCACTTTACAATTGTCTTTTAATGCCTAATTCTAAAGAAGTTATTTTTAAATAAATAACTTCTCATGACGTTGGGAATGCTATGAACATCAATGTGGTCCAAATAACTAGCTACAGGTCGTTCCTGAGCACCCGAAATTTTGTTAGGAAATGAATTTCATATTTTAGTCAATTAAATTCATTCCAACTAAATTTAAATTTAAGAGAAATATGCAGTTAGTAGCTGCTATTTTGGATAGAACATTTCGGGGAATAATATAAATTTTAACTATGAATATCCCAGTCCCATTTAAGACTGAATGTTCCAAACCACCTTACATTTAAAAGTGGCCTTGATATGCTGATAGAAGGGTTGTGAAATGGAAATGATATATGTGCTTTATGGAATATTTCCCTCAGAGAAAGGAGATACACTTTTTTCCTTCATTTTTTTCTCATTTCTCAAGGACTGGAGCACAGACAGTTCCTATGAATCATCTTAAAAGGTGAATTTTGTCGATATGGCAAAACATCAAATTGAGAGAAATGTGTAAACCTCACAGTGTGTACCTACTCTTCCAGTTCTAGTTCCTTTATCCCTGTACCACGGGAGAAATTCTGGTTTAAGCTACTGTGTGTTGACTTCATTGAATAGTAGTGTAGCATTCTGTACAGTATTATGTACAGTAACTCTTACAGTCTATTACAAAAAATAAAATTTACTAGGACAAAACTATCCTTGTTTTGTGTTGAATTTTGTCTTCTATAAGATATGTTCAAGTCTTAATCCTTAATATCTGTGCATTTATTTGGATGCCTTCTGTACATGTAATTAGTAAAAATGAAATTATACTGGAATAGATGGGTCTTAATCCAAAAGGATTATGGTCTATATGAAAAGAAAGGAATTTAGGCACAGAGACACAGGGAAACTGGTCCTTTGAAGATAGAGCCAGAGATTGGAATGATCCCAACAAAAGCAGAGGAATGCCTGGGCCACAAGAAGCTGTCAGAGGCAAAGAATCATTCTCCTTAGATGCTTCCAATGGACCATAACCTTGATGACGCTTTGGTTGTGGACTCTGGCCTCTAGAATTGTGAGAAAATAAATGTCTTTTGTTTTCAGTCCATCACATTTGTGGTAATTTGTTATGATAGTCATCCTAGGAAGTTTATGAAGGAAAATTATCCAATCATTTCTGATATTGCATGGATGGCCAAACCCTTAACACCATTTGGTGACTAGTATATAGTGTGTCAAGTCAGTAATGACCTAAGTGGCAGAGTGGTGCCAATCAGTGCTAGTACTGATACATGGAATTCTCAGAATGCAATGGCTTTGAGAATCAGTTATGATTCTCTTATGATAATAGGCTCTGTAGTCAAAGAGTTACACTTGTACTTGCTGGGACTAGTGACCCAGTGTATCTATTGACTCAATCTCCCTGTGCCTCCATTCCCTTTTTATAAAACCAGGAAAAAAAAGAGTCTCAACACATGATGGCTATAAATATTACTCCATATATAGTGCTTACTATGTTGTAATAAATATTATTCATCTTAAAGAATTAATAAATTAAGAATACAAAGAAAATATGGTTTTCATTTGCTGGATCCTTCAATTTGAAAGGCCATCCATTGTATTCCATGTGTTTAGGCTGCTTGCTACAAGTTGAAGGGAAATGTCATTCTGGATGGGTAATTTCTAAAGAGAAGATTATATTTGGCAAGTCTTTGTAGAAACACAATAAATGCTTAATTCGTATCTGATTTTCTATAGAGAGAAAAGTTGTATTTAGAATTATGCTATTCTGTTTGCCTTACTAAATTTGGGAGCTAAGGGTAGAACACAACCTCTGGGTCTGGATTAAAAATAGGATTGGAAATTAGGGGTGTTGGGTATGGATAATTTCACAGGCTTGAAAAATGTGTTCCAAGTGCTGCCTTAGCCATTAATGTTCTCTTATGAATTATCAAGTGAAGACTGAAGGGTCAAAGTGGAGAAAAGTTTGCCAGCAGGTGAGTAAACTAGGTCACCATTGTTCTACCTTCATGGGTTTCTAATGGGCATACTTGAGACCTACATGGTTTCTGACATAGCACAGGCTGATTTTAATACATACTGTATCTATTTTGAGAGTCTGGGATTTGTATTGTCTTATGACCATGGCAGGGAGAGAAATCTCATAGTTTTCACCATTATGACACCATCTGATTATGTTACCTAATATCAGGGCCTTCATTTTTATCTCTTATCTCTTAGAAAATATTTTGGTTATGTTTTCAACCTATATTTGTGGTTGCCTTAATAGTTATTGATGGATTTGCTTACCTGTACTCTACAACTATCAAACAGATAGAAGTTAGTGATGCTTATTGTATTTAAGTAGAATTTAATGTAGGTGTTCATTGCAGTTGTGGGTTCTGCAGAAATTCTGTTACCCAGAACCTCCTGGGTATTTAAACAGAATGGGAAATGAGTTGGTTCCATTTGACTCAAGATACAGAAGAATCTTTTCTCTAGGAGATAGTATAGAATTCTTGAGCTGCCTGCAGAGACTGCATCCTTATCAGAACTGATTACTGACCCTGAGAAAAATGTTATTCCTCCATGAAGGAGAGATATTTTAAAGAAATTCATGACAAAAATCATAGTAACTAAGGCAAACACAGAAAAATATGAGGTATCCAGCTAGAGAAAACCAAGGACTTGGTCTCAAGATCTGGCACAAATGAAAACTATAAAGTCACACAGCACCAGATATTATTTTGCAGTGGATATGGGATTGGAAACAAATGGATCCATCCCAGGATGAACTACACAAGCTCATGGATAATTCATCTGGAAGAGGTAAGAACATCAGAGCATTTTATCAATATAGGACTTTATTTTTCTTATTTATAATGAATGAGGATTGCAGGTCCAAAAATGAGATATCTCCCATTAAAATCAACAAAATGTGGCAAAAAAGCAGCACAACTACATTTTAGTAGTACAGAAGTCTTTTTTTTTTTTGGAAAAAAATCTGGATTCTTAAAAGCTTATTTGTAATCACTTATTATGTCAATATTTAGATACCAGTTTATTTTACAGTAGGCCAGAGGATGATATAATTTCTTAAGAATTTAAAAGTACACCTATTTTCATTAATTTCTAAAGTCAAAGGTTGTTTATGCAAATATTGTACTTAGTTCAAATATTAAATCCACATATTTGTACTGCCCACAGGAAACAAGAGAAAAGCCAACCAAGAGAAAAACCAAATATCTTTGGATGTTGTGGGGTCTTCTGGGCTTCATAAAAAAGATGGGTGGAATGCATACTTTGTTTTAAATATATATTCACAGTGCAAATTAAAGTGCTTGGCACTGGCTTTTTGTGCTTGGGTAGCAAATACAACTTCCCTTGCATAAATGATTTGGAACAAACAATGAGTTGATGTATAATAAAAACTCATGTACAAGATATAAGAGATTCGGGAAGGTATGTCAGTTAACCATTGTTTAAGCTCAAAACAAATTCAATCACAAGCATGATGTCAGAGTTTAGTGCCAAGAGCGTCAAGGTAGGAAATGCACTCTTCTAAAGACTGGGTTAAAAAGGACACATAGTGGAAATTTGTTTTCTATTTAGTGGTAGAGTTTCTCTCAACAAGGAGCAAGTAAAGAAATTGAGATAAATAAATTGAGATGATTCTGAGGAATGACATATTGTTCATTGCAGAAGCAATTACAGTTTTCAAATCCAAAGCCCTTGATAAGAGTTTATCCAAAGTTTAGGAAATGTTTGTAGGACTTATAGAAGTGGATGTGTAACACCTGGATTGCTTCAGAAGTTACCACAATAGAGTGAAAGATCCCTGTTCAAAAGGCAAAACTGAATGAATGAATGAATGAATGAATGAATGAATATAATTGGTTTCATTCATGCCTCTTAGTGACTGGTTAAATGTCTCCAGTACACTGAAAGTCATTTGCATACAATAGACACTTGCAGTGAAGAACACGAGTATACTTGCATAAAAAGCAGATATTCTTTAAATTCAGGAAGGAATCTCAGAAGGAGGTTACTATTCTTTCCATGATTCGTCAGAAATATTATCAGAAGATGTGTGGCTCAAAATGTCTGGTTACAAAAATGGTAACTCACAAAGGTGTTTAAAACTTGCAGGCGAGTGTCTTTGCACATGCTCCCGTTTAATTTATGAATAATTATAGAAGAACACATCCTTTATTGTGTAAACATGGATTAAGGGTTACTTGGGACCTATGCACAATTGTCACTAAATAAGAGGAAGGAGCATTTGCACATAGGTCAGGGAGTTCTGAAGGAAAACGTTTTCCTGCTTTTGGGAGGAAGGTCAATATTATTGTCTCTTTCATTATATTGGGTTAGTTTATATTATGTCCATTATAAGAAAGATGATACAAAAACTCATCTCAGAAGACGAGGCTCAGTGTGTGGTTTAATTACAGTCCTTCCTTAGTCTTTCACTCTGGCAATATAGTTTTGTGGGCTTTTTCTTGTTTTGTTTTGGGGTGTGTGTGTGTGTGTGTGTGTGTGTGTGTTTTGGTCAATATCTGAGCAGGAGTGAGATCTCAGGGGACAAATTATGCAGGGATCTGAATAAAGAAGGATGTCATACTAAATAGTGAACAAGACCACATGTGACTGGGCTTTTCCCAGAGTGGTAGCAGCAAGGTATAGAAAACCTAGCCAGAGGGCAGCTACTCAGATTCTTTCTGTCTCTTTTAACTCCCTCTGAAATTTAGAAGATAGACTAAGATACACTTCTGGGACTCTTTTGAGATAGAACATACTATAATACCTACTTTTTTCTTTTCTTCAAAGAAATTATGTTGACAAATGATTAAAATGTGTTTTTACTACCACCCAAGAATGTTGAGGCAGACTGATTAGATTGCATATTTAACTTTCTTGGCATTCAGTCATAGTGTTTGTATAGATTTAGCCACCTTTACCCATATACAACACTACTTTAGACTGCTGATGGAAACAAAATAATACAATTTGGACAGTAGTTTTAATTGCAGAGACTCACCTGTGACCAACACTTTGAACTGTGCTTTATTGTAGAATGTAGAGCTTTCAAAGAAACACACATACTCCCCTTCATCTGAAGGTCTGATGTGATGGATCCTTAGGGCAACAAGCCCTTTGGTAATATTCCCCTTCAGGAACTTGGTCCTCCCTTGATACTCTGGCATTTGCTGGTCCATATGATCCTGGGAAGTCCCATAATAATGCACCAGACCTGAAGGATCATTTCGGTACCATCTCACTTCCATGTTCTGAGCATCTATTGATGGGTTGAGATGACAGGAAACCACAACCTCTTCCCCAACAAAGGCAATGACTGGTGCTCTTGGTCCTATGACCTGGAATTGCCCTGGAAATAATTTTTAAAACAATGGAATCATTACTGAGACCTTGACAAGCATGGTTGTGGCCATCTGATCAGTAAAAAATTAGACCAGTTTAATTAACATAGGAAATTGTAGATGATTAATGAACAGATTTCAAATAAAGCTGTCCAGGGGTGCCTGGGTCGCTCAGATGGGTGAGCGTCTGACTTCAGCTCAGGTCATGATCTCATGGTTCTTGGTTCGAGCCATGCAACAGACTCTTCTCTGACAGCCCAGAGTCTGGAGCCTGCTTCAGATTCTGCATCTCCTTCTCTCCTTCCACCACTCACACTGTGTCTCTCAAAAATAAATAAATGTTAAAAAAAAAAACAAAAAATAAAATATAGATGCCCAAATACACTGTTAGCATAAAAGATAATACAGAACATAATGCCAACATGCAATAGTCATTTGATCTTAAAAAATATGTTTTTCCCTTTTCCTAGGATTAGAATTCAAATTATATAAATCTCATTGTTTATGGCTTATAAAAATTTCATGTGTTATAGAATATATTATCATTTAACAGATGAAAGTATTGAGTCAGTCAACAATTAATAATTGAGTCAATGATTAATGGATTCAGTAAATGTTAAATTGCCCCTAAATACTTATTCTTTGTTAGATTATATGGTCTAAGTATTCTAATAGTAATACCCAAATGTTTCCTTGCTTTACACCATGTATTATATAATATAATCTATAAAGAAATATAAGGTGAAACTATTAAAACTTAAATGGTTTTGTTAAGAAAGAACGTAATTCTATTCATAATATTTACCCAGTTTAGAACATAAGTATGAGATCCTGTCTACAACATAAATTTTCTAGAATTTTACTGTAAGTTCTCTCTGAGTATAGGCATAAAGAGTAACCATTAGTTAAAACCAATCTTAAAACAATAAATTTTACCTGGCTTATATATTTTAAAAGGCTACATAATCTTTTGTTCCAATATTGAAATTCAAATATATTTTTTAAATGTTTATTTATTTATTTTTGAGAGAGAGAGCAGGAAGGGTCATGGAGAAAAGAGATAGAGACTCCAAAGCAGGCTCCATGCTGTCAGCACAGAGACTGATGGTGGTTCTCCATGTCAGGCTTGAAATCATAAATCGTGAGATCATGACTTGAACCAAAATTAAGAGTCAGACGCTTAACTGAGCCACCCAAGTCACCCATTGAATATATCTTTCTTAAGGATGGAGGGCTATCATTTTGAAATGTAAACATCAAACATGATAGCACCACTTTCACTCTGTCACTGTGTATGTTTAACCTAGGCATGCATGGCTCCAAGTTCTAACTGCTCACATGTCATTAATGTAAGGAAAGCTGTACAGATAAACACACTAATAAATAAATGAATTTAAAACAAAATTTACTTTCATATTATTATTCTTAAGTATCAGTTTTTTATAATATATTTTGAGATATGCAAGTAATGGACTGAACCAGCTTGGCTGGAAAAGTGGGCTAGGTTTCTTTCTCTCTTGAAACCTTACTGACTGTTCCATGATAAATTTGATTAGATTTCTTACAATGTCATTGCAGTATGGTTTGGTGTTTATTATTATTATTGTCATTATTATTATTATGTTTAAGTTTATTTATTTATTTTGAGAGAGAGCATGAGCAGGGGACGGACGGAGAGAAACATTAAGAGAGAGAATCCCAAGCAGGCTCAACACTATCAGGGAGAGCACAATGTGAAGCTCAATCTCAGTTAGATCATGACCTGAGCTGAAATCAAGACATTGAAAGTACTTCTACCCTAGGTATATGATGCTTAATATGATATCAAATAGCTGCCCCTTCTTAACAACCTATGCCTTTTCCATTAATACTAGACCTTGAGGCTATTACTAGTTGCCAAATATATTGACTCCTTCAAAATGGAAAGAAACCACACTCTTTGTGGCATTTCAGTCCATTCATCAACACCTGTTGTAGCCTAGGATACAATAGGGCAGTGAAAATTTGAACATCCCTTTTCAGGTAGTACAAAAGTATCAGAGTGGTCACCAAAGAAGGATGCCTCCCACCACTCTGATCCCAGGAACCTTCACCAATATTCCTGATGTGGTGCCATTCAGAGCTGAGGGGGATTTTGGTAATGGACTCCTAGATTGTTAATGTGATCTCCTTGTTTTCTATGAATCAACCATGTGATCAACTTCTTCACTCCCAAAGGATTCCCCATTCAGGCTGTCTCCAGCACATTGAGGTGACCTTGGACAACAGGATTTAAGGAAGCATCTCATCTTCTTCAGTAATAGTGCCTGGCCTCAACATGCTCTGAAGAATGATGAAAATTGGTCCATTAATGGGACCTTCAAATTCAATACTATTTATAAATTAGACCTTCTTTGTAGGTTTCAGGGAAAATGGAACAAAATCACATTTGGTCAGATCTTTTTTTTTTTTTTTTTTAATTTTTTTTTCAATGTTTATTTATTTTTGGGACAGAGAGAGACAGAGCACGAACGGGGGAGGGGCAGAGAGAGAGGGAGACACAGAATCGGAAACAGGCTCCAGGGTCTGAGCCATCAGCCCAGAGCCTGACGCGGGGCTCGAACTCACGGACCGCGAGATCGTGACCTGGCTGAAGTCGGACGCTTAACCGACTGCGCCACCCAGGCGCCCCTACATTTGGTCAGATCTTTATGGCCCTGTGCCACAAGGATGATCTGTCTATACTCCTTTACGGGGCCTAAAGACAACTTCTTCTTACCCATTTGCATCAGTTCTTCTACTTCTGTTAATTCACCACATCACTTATGTTCTGTCATGTTTTCTATGCACCCCCACCTTGTCTCTCTTATAAACACTTTGCTAACAAGATCCTATACATGCCTGCTGTGTTTTTCCTAACTCACTAGCTTCCTTCTTGTTTCTTCTTCTGTTATGTGGGATCAGGAATAGATTTTGAGAGTCCTGGAGGAATATTTCCTGAGTCTTGTTGTCAGTGGACTTTTCTCCTTCATTTATCTACTAGATTAATGGCTATGCTAATTGCAGCCAATTATCTGGTTCAGCTACCTCTGGACAGGGAATTTAAGGAGTAGTCCCAAGCAGCTGCCAAAATTCCTTTTGTTTCAGGGAGGGTCCCTGATCTCTACAGCTCAACATGGACTGCCTATTTTCACTTTTTGTTGGAGAAAATAAATGTGTGTCTGCCCTGACTTCTCTATCTTGACATGGGCTGCCTTTTTTCACTTTTGTCGGAGGAAAGAAATATGTGTATGTTCCTGTATGAGCTGATGAGCTTTAGGACTAGAAGTCCTCTTTGTCTGCACTCTGGGTTTTATCCTCCCCCAGATTACTGGTAGTGCCTCACCTCTTCTGCCTCCACCTGCTCCTCCTCCCGTTTCTGCACCACAATGGGTGCAGTGTGCATAACTCTTCTGGACCAGTCTCCATGCATCCAGTGCCATTGGCTCTTGCTCCTTCTACCCTTGCTATCGAGGAGCAAAGAGCACCCCAAGCTGTTGCAACACCTTCTTATCAAGTTCAAACTGGATATGTCCCCAGTCATCATGAAAGGGCCCAAGGGTTCTCTTGGACTTAAACTGCTCACTTCCTCTCCCCAAAGACGCCTCAGGTCAACATGCACAGTGGAGACAAGTGGATTGTCTCTGAAGTCAACCTAGGCGCAACATATTCTGTATTTAAATTCATATAAGTTTGTTAGTTTAACTAAGGAAGACTTGTCTTTACAGTTATCAGCATTAGGGGTGCCTGGGTGGCTCAGTTGGTTAAGTGTCTGACTTCATCTCATGATTTCACAGTTCATGGGTTCAAGCCCCGCATTGGGCTCTGTGCTGACAGCTCAGAGCCTGGAGCCTGCTTCGGATTCTCTGTCTCCCTCTCTCTCTGTTCCTCTCCCAATCATGCTCTGTCTCTCTCTCTCTCTCTCTCTCTCTCTCTCTCTCTCCTTCAAAAATAAATAAAAACATTAAAAAATTAGAGTTATCAGCATTAAATATATAACTTTTATTCTACCAAGGTTTAGTAAGTGTGAAATAAACTCATGTGATTTCTGTTGTAATTTGTCAGCAAAAAAAAAAATAATAATAATAATAACTTAAAAAGATGCTTGTTTCATCTCTTAAACTTTTCATGGATAATTTAAAAACTGAAATAAATTAAAAGGCTTACACATAAAAGTTTTCATAGCTTTCAAAATCTTTGGTCACTTAAAATTTGAATTTTTGCTAAATTAAATGATAAAATTGGATTGAATTTGCTGGATATGTAAGTCTTGTCCAAATAATGTAGAAAAGCATTGGTTACTGAACATAGGTTTGTGTTTTGGGGTTTTTCTTGCAGAGAAACTGAAGATATTTGGGCCTGTTGGTAAACATGTGGTATGCTTTATTGAAAGAATACTATGGAAAACATTTTTAGAATTATACAAGGTAAACATGAATTTCCTTTCTTAAGAATTCTGGAGCAACAGTTCACAATTGTTTCCTATTTAACTTTAACTGTACACTAAAGCTTCTAAAAATAAAATTCTGCTAAATGTAATGAGGACTGATGGAAATAAGGGTAGAAACTATGTATGTAAGAAAAGATGAGTTTTTAATAAGAAAGGCATAAGGAATGAGGACAAATATTGTTGAGGGAAAAAGAATGTAATTTTATCCTAAAATGAGACCGGTTGTTTAGAGAAAACAGGCTTAGGACAAATTCTGAATGAAAAAGAAAGCTGTAGGACGTTTGTGAAGGAGAATCTTTGGAAAATAATTTTATATGTGGTTAAGTTTGAAATAAATGGAATTTAAGGCACACTGGTATAAGTTTGAAAATGTTTCTCCTCATTTTTAAAAAGACTTTTTTTTTCATTTAGATTGCTGGTCTGCTCATGATAAGAAAATAAAGAAAGGGGCTTTTCTCTTTTGTCTACCCAGAATACCAGTGTTTTTCTTTATCTGCCCTGAAAACCAAAGCTTCTATGTTTTGTCTTTATCAGGTCTTTGATTACTTAAGAAAGTGCCCGCCTGGGTGGGTAGATAGAACATGGGACTCTTGAACTCAGGGTTGTGAGTTCAAACACCACAGTGGGTGTGGAACCTATTAAAAGAAAAAAAAAAAAAAAAAAAAAAAAAAAAAAAAAAAGAACCTTAAGACTTTCCAATGTTGAAATAGTATAGTATTGCTAACTGATATATGATTTCCTAATAGGGTCCATTATTGTCACCTTGGTTAAATATAAATATTAGATTTGTAATGATCTATAACACTTTTTAGGAATGTGCTTAAAAATTTCTGAGGGTTTTAACAAGTTTTACAAGATTTAATTATACAGGAAGTTTTCTTTTTTTCTTTTTTTTTCCAAATTACATTTGTTTATTTGGTATTTGAAGTTACTTGGACAACATTTTCAAACCAATAATGATAATCTTTAGATTGTATTTTATGGATAAATCTATAATTATTCTAGGAAATATATGAAATTCCTGAAGTTTCTATGTCCTCATAGAAAGTCATTGCTTGTATTATTGAAATTTTGTATGTCACAGAAATAACCAGATGTCCTTGTCAATTGCATTATAACAAATTTTCATACAAGATTTTTAACCATGTGCATTTCTGAGGGGTTTTATTTTGTTATTTATAATTATTATTTGAGTGTTATTGCAAAATATGTTTCATCTTCAAGGAGATTCATAGAAAGGATTTTTTACAAATACAAGTTTTTGGTATCTTTAAAATCATAAAACTGACCCAGGTAAGATTTCCAGAACTAATGAGCAAGCTGCACTTAAAATGAACAAAAATTAAAAACACAGAACTGATTGAATTGAGAAAAATGATAGAATAATCCTTGGTGAATAAATGGAAGCATTTAACATTTTCCCCTAACTGAATCCTCCAGAATTCAGAAACTCTTAGTGAGTGTTCTTTCTTCCATGGAATTTATAATTATTTGAATAAGTTTCATGAAAATCTGGTCTCCTCATATCAGGACACCACTGGAACATTGGTTATATTACCAAGACTTTATCTGAAGTGTAATATTTTAAAGAGACATGCATAGACACATATATGACCAGACAGCTTTAAGGAATTAAGGTTGATGTTTTGAAGCCAATAACTCCCCTTGAGAATATTGGCCTGATATCTTGTTTAAGAGTTCCCAGCAGTCTTACCAGGTGAGCAGAGAACATCACTTCCAGGGACATCAAGTTTCTTGCATATATTGGATGAAATATATATCCAGGATAGATTGGATGATATATATTTCCAGGAGACCTCAAGAATAGGAATACACCAAAATATACAGGTATTGTAGGCAAGTGTGATGACAAATATTGGCTTGGCTCTGGCCTAGAGAGGCTATTAAGAGTTCAGTCTAGAGATTCCTCATAAAAAGTTCCAGAAAGATTAAAATCCAGCAAGATTTTAAAGGCTGTATATGGTCAATAACTATTCTTGGTGAGCTTATGTAAATAATTAACCCAATTTTGTCAAAACTGGAATTAATCTACAAGCAAATTAGCCCTGGTTTGGCTATCTCTGGAAATAAAGGTGAATGTAGAGAGAAAATACATGTTTTAATAACATTTCCTTTTGGATGCTAGATTCTAGTTTTCATTAATTATCTTTAAGTGTTTGTTACTTGCCTAAACTAAACAACTTGAGGTAAAACAGAGAAAATGCCATAAAAGTTTGCATATAGACTATCTTCTAATTTGTTACTCTGTGGGGCTAATAACAGGTGTTCCATGGACATATGATTATTTAACATCTAGACAGTAAAATAAACTCCCCAACAACTGTGTAAATTAGCTGTCAACTTGACCAATTCCATGTGGCTGAGATAACAAAATTGCTCTTTTTTTTTTTAATTTTTTTTTCAACATTTATTTATTTTTGGGACAGAGAGAGACACAGCATGAACGGGGAGGGGCAGAGAGAGAGGGAGACACAGAATCGGAAACAGGCTCCAGGCTCTGAGCCATCAGCCCAGAGCCCCACGCGGGGCTCGAACCCACGGACCGCGAGATCGTGACCTGGCTGAAGTCGGACGCTTAACCGACTGCGCCACCCAGGCGCCCCACAAAATTGCTCTTTAAAAGTCAGAACACATCCCACTCTATGGGGTTAGCTATGAACTTGTGGAGATAAAATCCTTAAAATTTGATTGGAAAATGAACTTGGCGATACCCTTATCTCACAGAGCAAATCATAGCCCACTTGCCAGTGATTCATTTCAAGTATAATATGGTTAGGTATAGACATCAAGCAAAGAAGCTTTCTTCATAGTTTAATCCCTTAGTCATATTTATCCTTGGAGCCACCTCTATTGAACCAAGATTTCAAGTAGATGCTTTAGCCAAGCATACAGTGGCCATGTTTAACCAAACCCAACAGAAAGTCACCCCAGTCCCAGCACATATAGGGAAATTTCTATTAATAAAAATAATAGAGTTTCTTTTTTTATTATTTATTTTTGAGAATATGTGAGCAGGAGAGAGGCAGAGAAAGGGTGGGAGAGAATCCCAAGAAGGCACTGCACTGTTAACACAGAGCCTGATGTGGGGCTTAATCCCATGAACTGTGAGATCATGACCTGAGCTGAAATTAAGGGTTGGATGCTTAACCAACTGAAGCCACCCAGGCACCCCAAAATAATAATGTTTCTTGCTGTATTATGCTAAAAATTAGATGGGCCACTCCATGTCATAGGAGACCTTTCTCTTATCCTTGAATTATCAAAAATTTAACTGAATATGCCAACCAACAGATAGACTCATTACCACACTTTCCACATCTATGTAGTCTTTCCTATCAATACACTCAGGAAGGAATATATAAGATATGGGATGGATATATGAGGCTTACTCCCACAATAAAACAACTAAGCCAAGTGGTCCTTTTATGCTGGGAACAGAAAGAACATACACTTGATTCATGACCCTATGGTACTCACCAAAGCAATGGCTCCCCCCCAGAAGCCTGGGACCATACCATTATTTTGCCAGCAACCAATTGGTTTGCCACTGACTGGACAAGGCGACCAAATATCACATGGCTGGCACTTAACAGAACACAGTTGCTATTTGGGCAAAATTAGTGGCCATAGCTTCCAGAAGGCTGGATTAGGAGATGGACTATAGGTTAAGCATGGATACCTGGTTGTAGCATTAACTATCACAAGTCCAACTAATCTTCCATATCTAAAACAATAATGGGCAAGATACATATTTCTTTGGTATTACCATCTAGCATCTATTTTTCTTCCATCAGTAGTTTTAGATGTCATATAGCACATGGATGCCCTTGATAAATACACGATTATGGCCTTAAATAACACAAAATAGCTTTACATTATTAAACACTGAAGTAACTCAAAAGCATAAACAAATTCTACACAATAAAATGGCACTAGGTAATTTAACAGCAGCATAACCACGAACATATGTCA